CTCTGCTGGGTTGCAGAATATGTGTGACTTGAAAATATGCCTATCTTAATTACTAATTTTCTCTTTTCCTCCAGGTGGCTGTGGACTGAAGCAGGTGCTCAGTCAGATCTTGAGAGCTCTTTGGGGATTGGAGGCTTTGGGTATCCAGCAATGGCAGCTATTAATGCTCGGAAGATGAAATTTGCCCTTCTGAAAGGATCGTTCAGTGAGCAAGGGATTAATGAGTTTCTGAGGTACGAAATTTTCAAGTGACTTAATTCTCTTTACTATGCAAGTTTTGCCTGATCCAGGAGAGTCTGATTTTGGTCTCAAGAGTCATAACCCCAGTTAGAGAAAGATTTAAGTTGATGAGAATTCCCTGGAGTAGGAGAATGATTTCAGGAGAGATTGCAATAAAGCTGTTGCTGCTGTTTTGTGGTGTGCAGAATTAAGTTGGCCATTTAGACTTAAGTGGTAGTTTTGGCACAACTTTTGAAAACAGAAGTGAGCTTCGATCTTGAAAATTTGTGTTTCTCTGGTAAGCCAAGAAATTAATGGGACTTGGTAACCAATTCTATTTATTTCAAATGGTGCATTTTGATTAGTCATTAGTAACTGGGACATTCCCAGTTTGGAAGTCTAAATGGCGTCTGTTGAGGTTCTTGAGGCTCTGTACGTTGCTGTTCATCTTTCTGGTTCAGTCTGGTCCTGTCTTCCCCCTCTCATTCTCCTGGCACATCATAAACTGGAGAAGCTAGAGCAATCCATACAAAAAGTCAACTGCATCTTGTGTAGCTGGGCAAGAGCCAGCACTGAGAAGAATTGAACAGGGAAAGGAAATGGAGGACAGAAGGTGGAAGGTGCACTGAAACAGAGCAGCTGAAAAACTGTTATTTAGGTGTGGTCAAAGCGAAGTGGGAACTCTGGTTCCAGGTAAAGCACCAGTTGCTATAAGGTATGCTAGAGCCTTCAGAAGTTCACATTAGCAGTGTTACTGCCATGTCCTTCTCTTGGAGAATGGCAGAGGACAACCAGAATCACAAATGTAACAGCCTCTCCCCACCTTGCCATAAGCAGCACATTAATTGAGTGCTAGTCGTGCTGGATTAATGGCATCAGTGCTATATTCCCTTACTTGTGGAAGTGATCAGACTTTATTCTTAATACCAAAAAGGAAATGTTCTTGGAGCATCAAGTAAAATTCAGGGTTCAGATGCAAGAAAAGAAATACCAGACAGCCTGTACTAATACATGTGAGAGAAGTGTCTGCTTTTCTCAGACTTGGCAAATTCTCTTAGTCTATAAAATCCATTTTAGAGGAGCCTCTCCTGGTGAGGGTGGATGGTGCTTCCAGGACACAGGAGCCAATTTAACAGCTTATATAGCATTAGGTAACTGGTTTGGTGTTTTACTACACAGCAGTGTAGTTGCTAGAATAATCTCTTCCTTGACAGTTCACTTCAGCTGTGCTGCCTAGAGAAAGCAGTACAATCACAGTTGGTGGCTGGCTGTTAACTCTGCTGCTGTAGGCATCTTGTGTAATCTAATAGGCAGTCTCAACAGTGTTGACTACAAATAAGGAAACTGGCACTGTGAAGAGCATAAAAATTGTGGGCTTCATCTGGGGAGGAATGCTAATTCAGCAGTCTTGTTTGGCTCTGAAAGAATGCAAAGGGATTAGCTCTTCAGGATTTTATTGTTGGGCTCTTTGACTAAGCCTAACTAGCAAGTTAGTGTCTCAGACAGAAGCTGCTTACCTTATACCCATTGGAACCTACGGAGACTGAGTCTCCGCTAAGAAAGATCACTGGTGGTTTCGAATAGCAGTTGCAGGTGACTTCCAAAACCAGAGTTACAGGATTCCTCTTGGCCTTGCCTTAATTGATAAAGAACGTGCTGTTAAAGGAGCAGTACTTACCCATCAGTGTTACGCTGATGAAATACAAAATAGTGTAGCTCACAGATGTCTCTGGATCCAATTGTCAATTTTCAATGCTGTTTTAAAGACTCTCTTGTTTTCTGCTTCTCCATTTGAAGTTTTTTCTTCCAGACAGTTTAGATTTGTTTAAAGAGATGAAATCTTAAAGCTGACTTCCATTTATCCAAAGTAGGCACTGTTCCAGAGGAATTTCTTAAATTTAACTTTTACATGTTTTTTCACAGGGAACTTTCTGTTGGTCGTGGCTCTACAGCACCAGTGGGTGGTGGAGCTTTCCCCAAAATTCATTCAGTTGAACCTTGGGATGGCAAAGATGGTGAGGTAAGAGATGCTCCATTTTGGAAAGTGCTGATGATTTGCTGGGGTCAGAAGTGACAGGATAGAGTAACTAAGAACCAACAGTGTGAAAACTCTTGCTCTTCCAAGATAGTTGCAAGTTGTGTTAATGATGGTTTCCCATTACCTAAATCCTGCCAGCAGACCAAATGCTAGATTGATCAGCTGACATTGTGGACCAGATACTCCTGTCTAGCTGTTAGGATGTGATCTGAAAGTTGGATCCCTTGAGGCAAAATGTGTTACCAGTGCTAAGAGAGGTGCTAGTGCATTCAGGACCCCAGGGTTGTGGAGACTTTGCTTCTGCAGTATGCTGACTTTGCCATCAAGGTCTTAATGTCAGAAAGTTTGTCAGGTAAAGCCTGTATAATAAATAACACAGTGACTAATGTCTAGCTGTTAGGATGTGATCTGAAAGTTGGATCCCTTGAGGCAAAATGTGTTACCAGTGCTAAGAGAGGTGCTAGTGCATTCAGGACCCCAGGGTTGTGGAGACTTTGCTTCTGCAGTATGCTGACTTTGCCATCAAGGTCTTAATGTCAGAAAGTTTGTCAGGTAAAGCCTGTATAATAAATAACACAGTGACTAAGTATATGTTCTAAATAAATAATAAACTGTATAATAAATAACACAGTGACTAAGTATATGTTCTTAAGGTTCAACATTGCTGTACAAACTAAAGTTACTACTTTACTCTGATCTACTTCAGATGGAATTAAACCACAGAATATGGTGGTGGTTTGGTTATATAATTTGTTTGTGTTGCCTTTATCTGGACTATTTTTATTAGTAGAAAACCTTCTAGTCTAAACTCTAATCACTTGTCCTGTGCTTATTGCACTGTGAGTTTTATGAATGAAAGGGATGACAGGAGAGAGCTTTACTCTCAGGATGAAGTAAAAATCTTTCCAAGTCAAGGATCTCCTGGCATCAAGCACTTCAAAACGTGTGCTCAAAACCTTCCCTTTTTCACAGCTTCCAGTTGAAGATGACATTGATCTCAGTGATGTGGATCTGGATGACTGGGAAAAAGATGAGCTGTGAGATCTTCAGGAAAATTCTTTTCTTGGGAGAGTTTGCGCAGCAGTTTGCAGCCTGGTTCACAATCAGACGGATATTCCAGTGGCCTTTACATGGAGAAATAGCACATGACACACTGTGCTGTTTGATGCACTGCAGCAGTGAACTGTACACATCTCAAGAAAACGTTGCAGAAATTCTATGAATTGTCATAACCAGTAAACTTGATTGTATTCTGTGTAACAAATATTTTGAGGACAACATAGATATTTCTTTGGAACATCTTGGGGTTTATTTTGTCGATCGTGTGTTGTTTGAGTGTTGCTGGAGGCTGTTAGTGTAACCAGTTTTAAATGTAATTTTTTTTTTCATGGAGGTGGAACCTGGTCAGCTTCTGTTTCAATTAAAGAATAAAAATATTTTTTGACACACAGTGTTAGTCTTGTGTAGAGTAAGAAAGGTGCACATGATACAAGCTGTCCCGTTTTGGATGACTCTTGAAAAATGAACTGTAGTATAGAGAGGCTGGGGTGGAGGGGAGTCCTAAACCACCCCCTTGCTGTGAAGGATCTTGACAGTTTGGCCTAAGGCCTGATTAGGTGGACAATCTTAGTTTAAATGCTCTTTAGTCTTCCTTTTCCTATTCCTTCTCA